CAGTTCAACAGGGCCACGGGCTCTGACCTGGAGCACGGATGGCTACGGTGGGCCCTTCTGGAACTCTTGGTGAGGGTTGTCGGGGCCGCCTCGGGGTCATCTTGGGACTTTCGGGGCGTCTTCTGGCACTGTCGAGCCAGCTCTACCCAAACAGGCCGTCGGAGCAGTCAGACATGGAGTGACCGCGGGCCGGGGAGTTGAAAGGAGTGGGGAGGAGCGGGGTGCAGTCGAGTGGAGTGGAACGGGGAGGAGAGGAGTTTGGGGAAGCGGGGAGGACTGCGACAAGTGGGGAAGAGCAAGATGAAATAGGTTTTATGGAACGGCGGCGCGCACGGGACGATACTTGGTCTGGCCAGAATGCTTCCCTCTGGCCCAAGCGGGCCCCGAGAGAATCCAGGGGGAGCACCAGCACCAGCAGTGCCAGCAGTACCAGCATGCGAGCTGCGCATGCCGAGCTCACTTGCCGTAAGTTGGGTCCTCTATGGAAGCTTGTTTGCTTGGTCTCGAACCGCGCCCTGTCCTACGACGCCTGTGTTGTGAAGCCGGCAGCCTTCCTGCCGTACGCACGTCGCTTGGGCAACGCGGTCAGCGATCTTGTCCGGACAGCTTTCTTGGGGCCTGCTTGCACGGACCCGCAGTGGCAGGCCTGTCTCAGCACCCTGAATGCACCGCTCAGCCATGGAGGCATGGCGCTTCGACCCATTGCTCTTGAGGCTCATTTTTCGTATCTCGCCACGCTCCTCCGCGTGCTGCCGAAAGCCTCTCGGCAGCTTGTCCTCCACCTGCAGCCAGCTGTAATCGACGTAGGGCACGAGCGCTCCGGCATGCTCGCTGCTGCCAGAGATTGCCTTGGCCAGTTGGCGGCGAGCGGCGTGTTTCTCGACACGTGGGGGATGCCGCAGCCGGAGCCTGATGCGCAAACAGGTGCCCACACATTTTCGCTCGAGCACGCGGTAGCTGCAGGCGTAGCGCTGCGGCACCGTCGTAAATTGTGGATGCTCCGAGCGGCCGATGCCGTACTCTCTGCAGGGACGCCTGGGCAGCGGAAGCACTGGCTGTCCGGAGGCGGTCCGGGAGGCGGGCTTGGTTTCACAGCCAACGCCACTGGGGATTTGGCCCCGTGGTCGGACGATGAGAGTTCCGCATCAATTTCCGCCGGCGTCTCCGGCTCCCGCTCTTCGGCGTTGCGTGTTTTTGTCAGCACCGCACTCGTGCTGGAAGGGTCTGAGGCCACGCACTCGACGAGCTTGGAGATCACGCGATATCTTGCATGATCGGTGGAGTCCACAACCGTCTGCATGATGGAGTCTGCGACGAGCTCGCGGCGTGCGCTCACACAGCCGGCCTTGCAGCCACACGCGAGGTCGTGCTTCCAGAGCTGGCCACGGCAACCATGCGTGAGCCGCGCGTGGACGTGCAGCTCTGGGGCCACTGCTCGCTCCCAGTTTTCCACGGGGACTTCACAGTCGTCAGCACACACAACCGCCGCGGCCATTCGGCGACCGCCGGTGCTGGCGCGACCGCTGCCGAGGCTGCGAAAGTAACGAAATATGGAGCTCGAGGCGGCACCAGCGTGCAAGGCCTTGCACTTGAATTCGGCGGCCGCCACGGGCCGCAGCTGACATGTCTGCTGCAACAGCTGGCAAGCCTCACCCGGCACCAGAGCCATCTCCATGGCACGGGTTGTGCACGGTCGCCGCTCCGCGATTGGCGGCAGCGGATTGCCGTCCTTTTGGGGCGAGCCACTGCGGTGCTCGTCTCCTCCGCTACCACACCAGCGTCCAAATAGTGGATCGCTGGTGCACCTTTCTTGTACAGATGGTCACATCGAAGCTTGTCCGCGCAGACGTGTCCAAAGCAGTACCAGCACAAGCAGCAGCAGCAGCACCAGCAGCAGCACCAGCAGCAGCACCAGTAGCAGCAGCAGCAGCATCGGCAGCATCAGCACCAGCATCAGCAGCAGCACCAGCACCAGCAGCTTCATCAACGGCAGCGCCAGCAACACCAGCAGCAGCACCGGCAGCAATACCAGCACAGCAGCACCAGCACCAGCAGGAACAGCACTAGCAGCACCACGAGAAGGACCACCACCACCACCACCACCAGCAGCAGCAGCAGCGGCAGCACCAGCACCAGCACCAGCAGCGGCATCGTCAGAAGTAGCATCAGCAGCAGCATCAGTACCAGCACCAGCAGCACCAGCAGAACCAGCAGCAGCAGCACCAGCATAAGCAGCAGCAGCAGCACCAGTAGCAACAGCAGCACCACCACCAGCAGCACCAGCAGCACCAGCACCAGCAGCATCAGCAGCACCAGCAGCATCAGCACCAGCACCAGCAGCAACACCTGCGACCCCCTCTCCCAGAGAGATCTCTCAATTTCCCCCTGTTGCCCACGCTGTTTCACTATGAGTTTCTGTTCTTCCCTTCTCCCGTCATCTCTCATGGGCATCGTTTCTGGGTGGGCTCGCGGGGATTTGTTTGATCGCGAGCGCCAACGG